GATATGCGAGGACTTCTGGTTGGCCTCACTGCCTCCAAATTCTGGCTCTGCCTCCCACCATGCAGGTCTTCACCCCTCGGCCCGGGGCTTCTTTGGCATACCCCCATCCTACATGGGCGTCAGGGCCCATGAAACCAGATTTGAGCTTAGCACCCAGCTGCCTCGCTCTGTTATTCTGGACCTTCCCCTCAGTCCTCCAGCACCCTCCCCTTGAGTTAGTGGTGCAAAGCCTGAGTCTCCTAAGTCTGCTCCAACCCACCTTCTCAAACGGATACAGAGGGGCAATTTCTCATGGCTGCCACTGAAGGTGGCCGGAGGGCTCCCTAGCTGGGAACGGCTACAGCAGCTGCCTCTCCACCTGGATTTTCCCCGACTTCCTTGTGCTCATGATTCCACGAATACCACTAAATGTGGGTGCTCATGCTCCTCCTTCTGCTGGGGTGCCTGTGAGCACTGTCATAGTGACTGGGCAGGGATATCAGCCCTAAGTACTGAGACAGGCACTCACCCAGCACCACTGGGCCCAGGGCATCTGCCACCTGGTGGCAGGACAACAGGACCCATGGATCAAGGTTTGTGAAGGAGCCATGGACCTTGGGCGGGGCTCTGAATCCTACCTGTGAAACGAGGATAACGAGGTTCGCCATACTTGGATGCCTTGTGTGGGGGTCCTGTTGTTGATGTTATCTGTGGGGTAGGGACTATTATCACTCCCATGCTACAGATGAGGAGACTGAGGCCCAGGGGAGAAGAACTGTGCCTTGGGTCAATGAGCTAGCAACCAGAGGAGCTCAATCCAAACCTAAGAATCAGATGAGATAACATAGCATTTAGGACCAGCTTCTCAAGTCGCATCATCGGAGTATAGTACATGTTGGTGGGATGGTTAATTCTGGGCCAGCTTGACTAGGTCATGTCCACAGACTGAGCAAAGCAGAGAGCTCCTCCCAGTGCGTGCGGGTCTTACCTAACTCCTCGGGGGTCTGAACAGAAGGCGAGGTAGAGTAAGGGGGAGTCTGCTGTCTCTGCCTGACACTGAAGCTGGGACACTGGCCTTTTCCTACCTTCAGATTTGGTCTGAGACATTAGGTCTTCGGCCTGGTATGGTAGGAGCAGAACCTAACTGTTGGCTCTGCTGGGTCTCCAGCTTGTGTCTTGGGACTTCTCAGCCTCCATAATTTTGAGTTCATTCCTTATAATAAATTTCTTCCTATACATACGTCTCCTGTTGGTTTTTTGGAGCACAATCAGCATCAATACCAGGACTGCCTTCATGCCAGGCAGCCCAGAGTCACCTTGAGCCTACAGAGTAAATTCACTGGTTCGACAATGCTTACAATGTGCTCAGGAGAGTGACCACAGGTCCTGCCCCTGCAGGGTGCAGAGACAGAAGTTAGCAGCCAGCAGCAACAGCTAGCTTTCGCCATGTGACAACTAGTAAGGGACGATGTGGCTCCCAATTAAGAGAAACCAGTGAAATTCACCTATTATGGCGAGATTTATGGCCATGCCTTTTAAACATGCGTTTTTCAAACAAATGTGTCGTCATGGTAACCCTCTTAAAACAAGATGTGACCTGGCTTGGAGAACCTGAGAGCTAATTATAACAGAGCTTTGTATTTAGCTACACCTTTCTTCTGAGCTTAATAGGCCTCACTCATTAAGCTCACAAACATCCTCTGAAGTCCTTAGGGGACAGATACTATTAAACCCATTTTACAGATGCAGACACCAAGGAACGGGTGAGTTAAGTGACTTTGCCACTAACTGGCAGATCAGCCATGAGCAAGTCCAGGCCAGACCTAAGTCTCCTCTGTTTCCTTCTGTTTTTACGAATCAGACTCCATCCTGAATTTTGAAAGTCCTCCATCATTAAAGGATTAGCGTTTCCCAGGGTTGGGGATCAGCCACGGCTGGGGATCCCAGACTGTGCGGTCATCTGTGTGCGAAGGCTGCTGGGTCAGGAGCTGTCGAGGGAGCAGAGGTGGCAGGGGTGGGAAGCGCCGAGGTGGACGATCTGTGCAGAGAACCCGGTGCACAGGGTGGCAGGACCAAGACTGCAGAGCCCCGCAGAGGCCCAGGAGGCCAGCACATACCCTTGTATTTCATGGGACAAGAATCTGAAACCCAGCTGCACCTGCCCCTTCCCCTCCTATGAATTCTCCACCTGTGCCACCCAGAGTGGCCAAAGCCCATTCCTTAGCATAGGTACACCTCGTCTTGGGCCTCTGCTGCAGCCTCGTGGCCCTCAGGAGGTGGACCCGGGCCAGCCATACTGTGCGTGACATTAGACATTCTCATTCTTTAGACCTACCTCAGACCCACTGAGCCAGAACCATGTTCCACAAGCCCTTGAGGGCTTCTGAGCAGCTCTAGTTTTCTGCCTAGAACATTCTCCTTGGCCTTGTGGCCACCACGTTTTGCCTACAGCCCATCCTGGTGCCAGCACGATTCCTTCAGGCCCGTGGCAGCTCTCCTCACCCGCAGCACCCATCAGCCCTGCGACGACAGGACGTGTCTGTCTCCCTGTGCAGAGGGAAGCTCCAGGAGAGCAGGGCCCTCTGCCCAGCCACCGACAGTGCCTGAATGAACCCTGCCTTTTGCCTCAGGTCATCGGGGCCCAGGAAGACAATGAGTCTGGAAGGTGAGTGGCAGGAAGACTTATTCTGAGGACGCTGAGATGGAGATGCCACCGGCCACATTTGGTAGGTGGAACACTGGAGAGGTGACCCCAGGAGGATGAAAGGCCTAAGGAAGAAATCCTGGAGCACAACCGGCTGGGGGAGTGAGGAGCCACAGACGCCGGACGGGAACCGAGGACAGACAAGCAAACAGACAAGAGGCCAGTGCTGTGGAGGAGGAGGCCAGGCAACCCTGCTCCGAGAGCTGGGGTGGACGCCTGGGGACTCAAGGTGGGCTACCAAGAGGGATGGAGCGGCCACCGGGAGCAAACGTGTCCGTGGAACCCTGAGGGGTGGGAGGAAGGGAGATAAGGCATGAGGAGAATTCCTGTGAAGGTTTCTGGTCACCTGCGGAGTGTAAGCAGAAATGGAGTCCAAGAGTTACAATCAGTCTATTCGGGTAGTAAGCAGTGAACCTCAACTTGGGTTTGGAGCCATTTGTGATTGGGGTCTCCGTTTTAGCTATTCTCTTTTGGAACTGGGGATTGAACCCAAGGCTTCCTGTATGTGAGGTAAGCATTTTGCCATGAAGCTACATCCCAGCCTTTAAAGCCATTTGTGGGATGTGAAATCAATTTAATGGGTGAACTTGGTGGTGGTGGGGAAGGGGGCAAAGGATTTAGAACAGGGAAGAATAAAAAATACCTTGAGTCAGAACCATCCAGCTAAGCTGCTTCTCAGCTCCTGAGCCACTGACCCTGTTACTGCAATCTGAAGCCACTATGTTCTGGGTTGATTTGTTATGCAGAATATATAACCATTTGTGGATGTCACTAAAGGAACTGTCCTCACTCACTCTGGTCTTCACCTTCTCCTTCCCTGGATCATTCCCAGTGGATATGAGCATGTTGGAATTTCTCTCATCTTAAAAATGCTCTCTGGACCTCAAGTCCTATTTTCTGTCCCCACGTATCTAAAACTCCTCTTCATCATTTCTGGTTCCTTTCCCCCCATCCCTTAACTATGTCAATTTAGGCTCTTCAGCACTCCAGCCTCTCTGAAATAGCTCTCAAGTGAGAATTGACTCTTTGGAATAAAATTTAATACCTCTCTGGTATTAAATCCCCTAAGGACCAATTCAATCCTTAGTCCTCTTTTAACTTACCTGAGTTATTCACTTAGTAAATATCCACTAAGGAGCTACTAGGTGCCAGGCATTGTTTTAGACATCAGATATCCAACACTGATTAGAACAGACCCCAAATCCCTCCCCACCCTTGCAGAGGATCCAAAGAGAAACAAGAGACCTCTGCAAATACTCATGGTGAGACCATTGATGTCTGAGTCCAAATAAATCAAAGTGATGGGCAGTGGGGGGAATAAAGAGGAAATAGATCAGCCGTGAACTACTGACACTGGCGCCGGGGACAGGGAAGCCATTAAACTCTTCTCTACCTTGGGTATGTGTTTGACAAATTTAGAAAGTTTTTTTTTTTTTAAAGCACTGTTATGTCAGGCATCATTTGCAATCCAGGCAATGGTGCATGCTGGCAGTGTGGTGTGGCCACTAAAATAGGGTGGTCCTGGCCTGAGGCAGGTCAGAGAGCCACACGAGACAGATGGGGAGGAAGAGCACTCCAGGCAGAGGGAATTGTAACCACAAAGGCTCTGGCTTAATGCCCAGAATGTTCTAGAAATAGCAAGGTCAGGACCCTGACTGCCAGCAGGCAGAGGAGAGCCCAGTAAGGGGCTGGATTCTGCCGTACCCTGGGGAATTCTGGAAAGACAGACTGACTCAATCTCTACTGAGAATCCCTCCTTACCCCCAACCCCCGCAGCCTGCTTCTGCCAGGGCTTCCCAGGTCGTCGAGGGCAGCTCCCTGTCCCTGTTAAGGCCATGCAGTCACGCCTGACTCTTCTTCCTTCCTGCATCCTCCACATTCATGCCACAGCAAATCCTGGAAGGCCACCTTCACTCCCCACAGGGCCTGCACCAGCTCCTCCAGCCAGGCCGCCTCCGCTCCACTGGGCCTTCCTATACTGCACCCCCCACGGCCCATTCTTCTCTGGGCCTCGAGAATAAATGCTGTGGGCCATTCACAAGAGATGGGGAAACCCAGACAACTGTCTTAGGAACCTCATAATAAATTCACTGCAGGCAAAACAAAACGCCCCATAAATGCTACTTAGATGTTATTAAGATTAGCTCAAGTAGGTTACAAAATTCTGTTTCTGCTCTTATAACAAATGATGGATGAAAAAGAAGCCAAATAACGGAAATTCTCTCTAAAATCTCATGTACAAAGGGGAAAGAAAATGAAAACTGAAATGTCATATTCATTGTTTTACCACATACTGATATTTTCTAAAGTTACTATGTTCATTTAAAAAAAAATAAGTTTTATTCATTATACAAGGGATTTTTAAAAGGTCTTTTCTTTACATTTTTTAGGGTGAATCATAAGCAGGCAGAGTTAAATTACAGTTCAGTCATATAGTGAAACACCCTGAAGCTCATAGAGAAGACTGAGGCAGGTTTCCCAATATAGGTTCCAACTTGGGAAAATGTACATTAGTTACAAAATCAAGCTGCAGAACAGCACTCGTAAGGTGACACCATATACATTATCAAAACAGATGTGTGTCCTGTTGTCTACAGAATGCATCTTATTACCATGTTACAAGTTACCTCTGGGGAGGGGGATGAATTTATGATGGGTACATGTCACTTTGATAAAAATAATTCATTTTCAATGACACTTTCTAATTTAAGTACAAGGTGCACGTTGTAGAGAAAGGCCTGCGAGTCCAGAGCAGACCTCGAGGGTCTGAGACCGCCAACTGCAGGGAGATCAGAACTAACCTGAGTCCTCATGTCCCGCCACGCCCTTTCCACCACCTTCCCCTCTCCCAAAGTCAACAACTGGGGTAAATAAAGAGACTCAGGTTCCAGGTGTGTGGCATCAGAGTCAGCCATGGCTCTGAGGCAGAAACAAGAGTGCCACTTAGAACCCCAGCGTGGTGCTAACACAGGAACCAGCCCCTGTGACCCAGGTTTACGGCCGAGCTTCTCCTGCTACTTCATGAACACCCCTGGGGACACCTTGCTGACACAGACCCAGGAGAAACAAGGCCATTTTCTGAGGCTGGCAACTAATGTATCACAGGCATAGAAAAATGATGGAGCAGGGTACAAAATGTGCCTAACAATTTTAGAACAGGAAATGTCAAAGGCCTGTGGATTGCCAGCCACTGCAGGGATCATCCTGAGGAGGAGGTCTGTTTTAAGGGATCAATAGGTAGAAAAATCAGGGCAATAAGCGGGAGCAATGGGGCCTGGAAGGCGTATTTATGGGACTGCTGGTCAGCAAGTTCTCGATTGTCCACCACAGACTCGGCTCAGTCCCTCCAGCTGCCCTCCAGGGATTCCCCAGAACCAAAGCAGAGAGGAACTTCTGCTCTTGAAAACCCAGGTTTTAAAGACCGTTGGGGGCTGGGTTGTGGCTCAGGGGCAGAGCGCTTGCCCAGCACGTGCGAAGCCCTGGGTTCGATCCTCAGCACCATATAAAAACAAATAAATAAAATACTGAGTCCAATTACAACTAAAAAATATTAAAAAAAAAAAAAAAAGACAGTTGGGCTTAGAGGTGCATGTGTGGCCTGAGGTAGGTGGAGGGTGTGGGAGGAGCTTCTGGGGCTGGAGTACCGTGGGCTGTACAGGGTGCTCCCTCTGCGGCCGGAAGGCCTCTAGCCTCATCTCCTCTGGGGTCAGGGGCCTTCACAGGTGCAGAGGTGCCTGAAAGAGCATCCTTGACAAAGCTGGTTCAACCCTGGTCAGTGGGGCCAAATCCCAGCCTTGCCCATGCCACCAGCCTCCAGGTCCAGAATCAGTCCCTGAACTCTGCTGCAGGTCTGTCTCTGATTCACAGGAGCCTCTTGAATGGAGTGGACGCATGCCCTCTGCTAAGTGCAGCACAGCTCCTGGACCTGTCACTAGAGAACAAGGAGGTCCCCAAGGAAGGAGGGAAGAGGGCCTGGGAGGAGCCTGGGCTCGGGAACTGAACCTGCAGCACCGTCCCACCCTGCGACTCCCTCTCCAAGGTCTTCTAAGCTCCCACCCCTGGAGGAAGCCGTGTGGGAAACTGAGGAGAACTGGAGGCCGAGGTCCTGACCTCGGGTGGAGCGTGGATAGGAGCTTCAGGGGAAGATGAAGGACAGGAAAGCAGTGGCCGCAGGGACTGAAATAGCCAGAGGACTCCAGAACTGCAGCTTGGGCGGGTGGTCTGGTGACTGCGCCTGTCCACATCCCCACTGTGCCTGACAGCACTTCACAGGCCATAGAAGTGGACATATGACCCACATGTCCTCTGCCTGGGGAGCCTGCATGCAGCAGCAGAGATGACGGGGAGGAAAGACGGGGAGAGGGCCGACTGAGTCCTACAGCCTGCCCGAGGGGCTCCTGAAGCCATGCGTCCCAGAGCATGGGGACAGGCACGAACCCTGCCCTCGTGGCCCACGCCATTTCAAGGAGAACTCTATCCACGATAGTCCAAAGACTCACACAATTTTGCTTGTACATAAGAACAAAAACAAAACCTCCATAAAAACATCTTTTAAGACCACAACATGTGAAGAACTACAGAACCAAAGTTAGTTTCAAATTAATTTAAGGAATGGGTCTTTTTCTAAAAGAAGCTATCTGAATGAAAATATTTTATTTATTTTATTCTGGTTTTGAGGATTGACCCCAGGGATTCTCTACTACCAAGAGACGTCCTTAGCCCTTTTTATTTACTTTTTTGTTTTTGGGTTGCTGGGGATGAAACCCAGGGCCTCAAGCACGCTGGGTAAGCACTCTACTGTTGAGCTATGCCATAGTCTCCTTTTTCTTTTTTATTTTGAGACAGGGTCTTACTAAGTCTCCCAGGCTGGCTTCAAACTTGCAATCCTCTTGCCTCAGCCTCCTGAGCTGCTGGGATTTCAGATATGCTTATTTTTTGACATGTTTCCTCCAGCAAGCTTATCTCTAATTGTATGGGGGCTCGGGGTGAGGCGGGGAACCTACTCAATCTTGTATCAAGTTAAAAGAATAACCAGTAGCTTCCATTTCTTTTTTATTATTATTAAAATTAATTTATGCTGTTGCTATAAAAATAGTTTTAAAATATCCCAAACTAATATATAAGCCAGAAAATGACCTGTCAATACCAACTTATCAACTCAAACAAGGTCAATACACAGGCACCAGGTAACATGGGAACAGTCTTTCTAGGTGGCTAACTGGAGAATGGCAGTAGACAGGATGAGGAAAAAACCCCTAGAACATGATAAATCTTTTTTACTGCACAGGAAAACTGTTCATTTCATGACACACCTTTAAAAACATTAAAAATAACCACCTGGTTTACTTGATTAAGCGTGAAAAGAACAATATTATAAGGAGTGACAACTTAGAAAAAGCACCCTGGGGGCTACTGAGTGGCGGAATGGCAGACCTGGCATCAAACTTTGACCAGTACACACCAGCCCTGATGTGAGGCTTGAGCACTTGCACTCCCTCATCTGACTTCATGTCCTCAAGAGGATCAGTTAGGAAGACCCTCCGAATCACATGCAGGCCATTTCCACGCTCAATGCCGCGACCGACCTCTTCTGGGTTTGGACCGCAAGTGACCGGCAGAACGACGGAGTTTCTTCCTCTCTAATCGATGCAGCTTCTCAGCCTCCTGCTGCTTCTTCTGCTGTTCTGACTAAATGGAGAAAATAAGATGAGTGGAGAAAAAAAAAAAGGCCAGTGCCTCTTCTGTGACCTCAGAATGCAATAGCAGAACCCCAGGGCAAGGGCCTGCCTCCCAGCTAAGGCTGCCCAGCCACTTGGTGTGGCTGCTGGACCTGGTTCCAACAAGTGCTGGAGCTGACTTTGCAGACAGGAGTGGCAGGACAAAGTCCAACTTCTCACTATGTTTTTTTTTTTTGCTGGGGGTGGGGCCTGGGGGGCATGTGCTGGGGAATGAACCCAGGGCCTTGCACACTGCAGCCAACCATCTTTGAAAAGCAGAAATTCTAAATGCCAGGCAAGAAGAGAAGTGCCCCATCACACTAATCTGATGAACCTACATGAACATTCTTGGTGTGCTTTAAAAAGGCCCCAAGAGCTATTAGAAGAAGGTACGCTGCTTCTCACAGATCTCCTCTCCCAGAAGCCTTCTGCTAGAAGTCAGAGCAATGAGCTCATACATAGCCCCACATCTTTTCTTTTTAAATATTTATTTTTTAGTTGAGTTGGATACAATACATTTATTGATTGATTGATTGATTGATTGATTGATTGATTGTGCTGAGGATCGAACCCAGGGCCGCACATGGGCTAGCTGAACGTTCCACCACTGAGCCCCAGCCCAGCCCCACAGCCTCACATTTGGGGCTGGGGATGCAGTTCAGGAACAGAGGATGTAGCTTGCATGCACGAGGCCCTGGGCTCAGTCCCAGAGCTGCCTCACATTTGACGGCTCAGATGACACAGACCCTGCATGGGAGCCCAGCTAACCCAGGCAGCTGGTGAAAGTGTGTGTCTCTGCCTAAGGAGGCTCTGCCGCATTGAGGGTGCAGGGGAAAAGGCCGTCCCACAGTCACGGGAAACCTGCACACCTACCTAGCTGCTCTCTCTTCTTCTATCCTGACCACCTTCCTGCTGTGCAATACAAAACGATCCCAATTCAACTCGGAGGTCATTTTAAGAAATTCTTAGGATTTAAGAGCCATCTTATTTTAAAAGTGACAATCACCCCAGTACCTTCCAATTTAAAAACAGGAGGAGACACTTAGTCTCCTCCCTCCTGAAAGCAGCTGTCCCTCCCTCAGCACAGCCAAGCAGGGCTGCAGTGCTTCTCCTGCACACTCCCACTCGACTTCTCCCACTCGACTTAGCTGAACCGAAAAGGGAATTAGGAATGTTCAATGGCACCGAGAGAGTTTACATGAAACTCGGAACAGGCACCAAGGGTTACTCTGAATGCAGTTCTGGCTTCAGGGATAAAAATACGAGTAAACTGAAGAGGTTCTTGACTGAGAAGAAAAAGCTTTTATCACTTGGCCAGCCTTCTGGCTGCAGGCAGGAAGAGCTCCATAGATGAATGGATGAAGGACAGGGAGACGTACAAATGGCTGCTGAACATGAGACAAGACACTCAAAATTCTGAGTCATTAGGGAACTGCAAAACAAAACCATAGCGGGATGCCACTTGCCCTGTGGAATGGCTATTAGAATAGATAAGAAAATAACAAGTACTGGTGAGGATTTGGGAAAAAGTCTGACTGTTTCTCAAAAAGTTAAATAGTTAACCCACATGAACCAGCCATTTTACTCTTAGATATGTATCCGAGAGAATGAAAAATGTTCATCTAAAAACTTACACAGAATTTTCATAGTAGCATCATTTGTGATAGATAAAAAGGGAAAATATCCCAAGTGTGTGTCAATGGATGAACAGAAAACCAAAATGTGGTATAAACATACAATGGAGTATTACTCAGCCACAAAAAGGATAGAAGTTCTGACTCATGACACACCACTAATAGACCTTTAAAACACTGTGCTAAGAAGCCAACTGCAAAAGAAAACACTGTACAGCCGAGCGCAGTGGTGCGTGCCTGTAACCCCAGTGTCTCGGGCAGCTGAGACAGAAGGATAGTGAGTTCAAAGCCAGCTTCAGCAAAAGTGAGGCGCTAAGCAACTGTCTCTAAATAAAATATAAAATAAGGCTGGGATGTGGCTCAGTGGTCAAGTGCCCCTGAGTTCAATCCCCGGTACAAAAAAAAAAAAAAAAGGAAAGAAAACACTGTATGATTTTATTTATGTGAAGTGTCCAGAACAGGAAAATCTACAGAGATAAGAAGTAGATCAGCAGTCACAACCAGGGGTTGGTGGGATGGGAGTATAGGGCTGCTGCTAAAGAGTACCTGGTTTCTTGTTCAGGTCATGAACATTGTCTAGAATCAGTGTGATGGTTACACAATGTAATGAGTCTATTAAAAATTAGTGATCTTTAAAAGAGTGTCTTTGGTATATAAATTGTATTTTAATGAGAGGTAGAAACTCATTCTTCTCTACTTGGTGCCTATATTTAGGACAGAGTATGAATGAGAAAATTTTTCAGAGAAATAAAACCATGTCATTTCACCCATCAGATAACAGAAAAGTATCTGAGAAGCTTATTCCTCCTACAGTTCGTAACAGGCCTTCCTATAGCCGGTTAAAGACCTCCATCTAGAAACAACCCAGAACAGGATCACCAGTGGCAAGAACTCGCCTTGGGAAGCCAGGGTGCCCTAGTGAGCAAATGGGTCAGAACTAGCTGCTTCCTGGTCTTCTCTGAAGTTCACCAGAGTGTCAGGTGGTTCATACCCTTAGGCGGTTAGGACTTCTGCTTTATAAGGACACACCTCAGCCCCACAGTTACCCGGAACACAAGATGACTGGCTTGGCACCAGCACAGCCACTCTGGGTCACTAAGGCCTGCCTGCCTCAGGCCACTGGTAATTTCCCAGCACTGCTTCTCCTGGCTGTCAACCAGCAGGCCCTCTGGCTGTAGGGAAAATTCTAGAAAAGGCAAAATATAGCTTCCTTCTTGGGAAAGCCTGGGAAGGTAGGCCTGAGGACAGAGCACACAGGACACTATTGGAGGCTGCTCCTTTGTAAATTAAAAACAAACAAACAAACAAAAATGATCACAAAACTCAAAACTCACCCTCTTTAATGTGAATGTCAACTGTTTGCTGCCAACAGTGGTGTCTGATACATTCAATGTCCCATTTTTGGCTTCAAGTTTCAAACGATCTTCAAGGGTTTTGCTGTAGAAAGTTTAAAAGAATGATGTATTAATTAGCATTATGTTCCATTTGAATCAAGTGTTAATTAAGATCGAGCTCATGAGGAAAAGACTTTTAAGGAGACTAACAAAAAATACACCCTAGGAACTTCTACTTCCCTCCCTTTGAAAGTCAGCTTGCTGAACGTGGCTGCTACCCAGCGGTTTAGCGCTTTAGCGCTCTCTGCTTGATTGGCTCTGGTGAGAGCTGACTTAAGAGGGAGACAGACACCTCTGCAGAAACCCCCGGGGGAGCATAGTGAGGAGGACCACTCGCCCTTCTGGCCCCTCCTGCTTCTCCAGCCCAGACTCCAAAAAATTGTAAGTGGCAGTACCAAAGATTTCAATGATTGCTACTTATCTTACTAAAACATATTTGTGAGGCCAAATAAATGCAAGGAGCAATCTATTTCTGAAGCCTGTAACTTACTGTAATGGTTGGTGGTGTGCTGATTCCAAGCATTTTTACTTAGGCCATGCACAATGGAGGTATTTGAATATTCTGACAACTTGCCAGCTTTCTACAACGGAATGAATGCAATCTTAGGCCTCCAGGTCAAGTGGCCGTGAAGAGCTATGGTCCTTCTGACTTCCCCTTCACTCAGCCCTGACAAGTCATTGTCTCATATGGAGAGCAGCTCAGACACGGCACACCGACTACACAGAGAAAATGGAGCAACCACACTCCGGACAGACGCTACCTGATCCTGCTGTGTTCGCTGCTGGCTCTCTAGTATCTTTTAACTTGAATTATTCTTCCCGACATACTTTATCCTAGAGTTAATAACACTTCATTTCTTGGTCATGTTTTCCAGACTCTTCTGGGCCACTTCAGACAACCCATGCCTGTAACTGTCTATTGTGCCCTTCAGTTCATGATCACTAGAGTAACCGAGGAGGACTGCACTTTCTAATAAAGATGTTAAATTTGAATGTCAAACCAGTTATACCATATGCCACTGCATGCTGCTATAATAATGCTTAATTATGAATCAGAACTTTGGCCTTTTTGTTAACTTCCTTGAGAGGAGAGGAAACCTGAATGAAGCCTAACAATTAGACAGCTGATTCTTCTAGACTAGCTAAAGTGACACATGCCCATCCCTGTGATGAGACTGGGAGAGGACAGGAAAGAAAAAGGGGAAGAATGTAATTTTCTTTTCTATATCCTCTTCAGACAAACACTTCCCCTTCGTCCCTACTCCCCCCTTGTGCCAATCCAAGCTGAATGAGCCTTTCAGTGTCGGGAATAAACACTAAAAAACTTGATGGAATTAAAAAAGGGCTGATTTGTATGAAATGGTTGTCTTTTCCCTGAAATATGACTTTCCTAACTAGTAACTGAGTAGAACACAGCTCCTAGAGGATCCATGGGACAAAGCAATGCTCCTTTGAAATTCTGAACCTGATGTTTGATGTTCACACCATGAGAAATTTATTTCTAGTTTATAACTACGAGTAATGTACTAAACACATACCTTCTTTATGTAATTTGAGACATAAAGTGGTTAGCATAAAAGTGGCACTCTTTTCTAAGCAATAATGTTATTAAGAAGCACTTTTAAAGCACTTTTCATCTTCAAAGTTCTTTACAGACAAACTAATTAATCCTTTCAACATCCCTGAGACAGAAGTATTTATCCTTTATAGATGGAAAAAGGGAGGTAAAATGTGAAATGACTCGCCCCAGGCCATGCAAGGATCCAGATTCTAAAACCAGGTTCCAATGGCAGGACCTCTCCTTCCCAGTACTGTCAGACCATACTTGATTTATAAAGTTCTGTTCAGGAAACTTGTCCACTAAGTGTTCTAAATGACAAGTTTCCACATGACTAACAGAACAAAATTAAGATTTAATGCAGCCTTTTTTTTTTTTTTTAAACAAGAATTCAAAAGTGACGTGCTGGGCTGCCCGCAGCACGCGGGTGCACTGTCAGCCTCAGCAAATTCCTCAGCCCGCTCATCTCATTTTTGTTCTTTCCTTTAATAGCTATAAACTCTGAGCTTCAAAGCTAACAGGGATCCTGAACAGCTTTGGAGCCACTGAGACAAAGTGGGACACAGAGAACACTAATTTGGGAAGAAAAAGACTTTTCAAGTAAATTGTGGGAAATTACTACTCTTTTAAGAATGACCTTATTTCCTCCATGATAGAGCATATAAATTCTCATTTTTGCTCAATGTGCTTGCGACGTGCACTTGTAAAAACTTGTTCTGTCTAGGCTGCCTGGAGAGACAAGCGAGTGATAGAATGAGCCATGGCAGGAGATCAGACACAGACGGGGACTGTGTGGAGATTTCTACATAGGAAAGTTCTACTTCCTCCCTTTCAAAGTCGGTTTGCTGAATGTGGCTTCTACCCAGTGGCTCAGCGCTTTCTGCTTGAGTGGCTCTGGTACAGCCGTCTTAAGAGAGAGACAGACACCTCTTCAGAACCCCCAGGGGAGCACAGTGAGGAGGACTGCATGCCTCCGGCCCTCCTCCTGTCTCCTCCAGCTCAGGCTGCAGGTCAGAAGGCACGTGGGCACTCTCTACTTGATGGTAAAGTATGTTAGGGAAAAATGTAATTGGCACAAGGTAGATGACAACAAAACCCCTTCAGATTGATGGTGACACACTAAGAAAACAGATCTGGGTTTAAAAGGCTGCAGGTGAAGTAAGATTACTTAGTACCCAAAGGAGAGGGCTTCCCGGGCGTAGGGCTGTCTTAAAATAATAAGGAAAAATGGGCATCAACTACAAGGGGAAAAAAGTCAAACCAGATACTAGATGCCCCAGGAAAGCTGAGGGACTTACTTCTTTGAGGTTTTAAAATACACACTCTATAATGTCTTTAATTAGAAATATTTAATTAAAAATTATGCTCCTCAATGAAGTTTTTAATCACTTTGCAGGGAAGAGGAAGCAGAGGAGCAGGAGACAACATAAAAGTACATTCTTCAGAATTCAGGAGACTTAAGTGGAGAAACGAAACACACGTTTTAAAAATTTAACCGTAAGTAGAAAAATCTTTCCCTATGCTATAAAGGCTGTTCAAAACTCTTTTCTTTTTTAAAATTTTTTTTTTTTTTTTAGAGAGAGAGAATTTTTTTAATATTTATTTTTTAGTTCTCGGCGGACACAACATCTTTGTTGGTATGTGGTGCTGAGGATCGAACCCGGGCCGCACGCATGCCAGGTGAGCGCGCTACCGCTTGAGCCACATCCCCAGCCCATAAAAATTTTTTATTAAATATATATTTTTTAAAGTTCTAGTTGGACACAATACCTTTATTTATTTATTTTTATGTGGCACTAAGAATGGAACCCAGTGCCTCCCCCATGCTAGAGCGCTCTACCACTGAGCCACAACCTCAGCCCCCAAAACTCTATTTCAATGCCTTCAGTCTGCACAGGTACTTCAAAGGCTCTACTGAAGATATGTAAACTCAAGCGACCATGGAATCTAACCCTCACCTCTGAGCATAACTAAAATTTGCCAGGGCTGCTAATGCCCACTGCTGGGAGGAGGGGATGCTGCACCCTGCTGGGAGTGCACAGGGCACGAGCCCCGTTGGAGGGTAACTGGCGGCATTACACCCCCCTTTTGATCCAGCTAAGTCCATCACTGGAATAGACTGCAAAGAAATACGCTGTGAATTCACAACTGTGAAAAAGGTAAGAGAAAAACGAGAAGCAGCCTGACCACTGCAGCTAGGGGAAAATTACCTCAGTGGGGGCACACCCCCAATGGAGTCTGTGCAGACGCAGCAGATCTCATCGAAAAAGCATGCCATCGAAAAAGACGTCCAAATCTTTTTTTCTGTGCATGGTTCTGGGATTTTCTGTGTGTGGACCCTGGGATTGAACCCAGGGTCTTAATGCGTGTGAGGCAAGCATTCTACCAACTGAGCTAGTCCCCAGCCCTAAGTCGTACTTTAAATGAAAAGGGCACATTAAACAATATGATAACCTGATGCATTTGTCATAAGAAAGAAAAGCCACAACTACACATAGGTGGGTGGGGATCTTCGTGGCAGTGCATGCAGCTGATAGGCTGGGAGAATGGCCACACATGGCAAGGACTCGGGAGAGCTCACCATTCAGCACACAGGCTGACTGCTGACAGATCACTGTCCACACTAACTTGACAGAAGATTCTCTTTTTTTAAACATTTAAAGTTTTGAATTAAATTATTTTCAAAATAAGATGTTTAAAATGCTTTATACATAACTTCAGCTTTATCCACTATCAGTGTGGAAAATGAGCTGAGGAATAAAATGTGCCACCAGGAGCTGCTGAGCTCCCCAGTGAAGACAGGTCCTCAAAGGCAGGAACTGTCTTTAAAATCTTTGAATTTCTAGGACCTACCACAGGGTAGACACTTCAAAGACTGCTTTCATAAGAGAACTGAAGGGGCCACCCAGCAGCTAGTATTTACTACCCAGGAAGAGGAGACAGGCTCACTAACTGCAATGCTGGGCATTCTAAGGACGCGTCCTTGGTTCACCAACACGGGCATCATCTCGATGCTACCTGCAGGTCCTGCAAGGCTGCTCCAGGACTGCTAATGCCCATCTATTCCTTGGCCTGCTAATGCCCACTGCTAGGAGGAGGGGATGTGGCACGCTGCTGGGAGTGCACAGGGCACCAAAAAGGGCCAAGTGCCCAGACCCTAACTCAGGCCAGCAAGCATGGACTTGCCAATCCTCGCTCCTTGTCATGATTATTTCCACACGTGCTGACTTCTCTCCCCTGTGGCTCTGAAGAGCTATACCTCTCTTGGTGGCCGTCTCCCTGGTTAGGGCTGCTGGTCCAATTTCTACCTGACTCCTCACCAAACCCCACCCATCAGTGGATTCCATTCCTTTCTCCACTTGCCCCTTTACTATGGTGATCCTCTCAGTCCACTGGCAAATCACCTCCCTCAAGTCATTGGATTGACTCCTTTTTCACTTCTAGGCTTCTGGGAAGCATCATGTACACTAATTGTCCACAATGTTCTTTAAATCTCCCACCTGTCGTCAGACTTGTGGTCCGCCTGAGAAATGGTCGCAAGGAGCTGATCCTCCTCGCTCTCCACCCCTCTGCACAGGTGCTTGCACGGCTCTCTCCTGGGAGACCACACTCCATGTCCCGCGGCCCCCGGACAGCTCCTTAGGATTCACTGCCCATCTACTCCTTGGCCTGGCCTCTGAGTCTGAAGTCAGCTTTAAACAACCAGTAGCCGTGGGACAGCTCCAAGATTCAATTCACTACTCTGCACGCACCTATACTGTTCTCAAGAGAAGTAAATGGCTTACTGGACTCCAGACTGTATTTCTGCCTCGGCTTCCCCCCAGCTCACCATTGAGCTTCAGGCCTTTTGTCTTTCTCTACCTCTCATTCTCCCATGGTTCTGTGATCAATGTGTTCCACACCCCTTCCCCACAGTTCAGGCCCCCTCTCTTCTGTCTTTGACTACTGTGACATCTGTGAGCTGATCTCGGTGTGTCTAGTTTCTCTCCCTCTGTTTTTCTAAAACTGAGATATTTTGCTACAGGTTTCTTGGAAATAGGGACCTTTTGCACCTCTGTTTTTACAACAAACACATACTGTGTTTATTATAAAAGTCTCTACATGATTGGCAGAGGGCTTGGGACAGATGCAACCATGTTACTCTGGAACAGTCTCATGGCTTTCCAGGACGGGCCAAGCCACTGCTGCCCATGCTCCTGCTCTTCTCAGGAAAGTTCCTCCCTCCCACCTCCTACCCCGTGCTGAGTGCTCAGGCCTGAGCCTCTCAAAAGACCATTCCAAAGTGACCTCTCACAAAGACTTCCTTAATTTCTCCAAACTAAGTCCCCCTTTCCCTCTGCCCTCCCCCCAGGGCTTCTCACAGTTCTGAGTATACCTGCTAAGGCATGAGTCCCTGGGTCTAGGATGGCACTGGGCTCACGCAGGCTCCCGAGGAATGCTTCACACACACAGGGTGGTGGGGAGGCTGAGAAGTGGATGAACAGTCCACAGATAGTTACCTAACTGCAAGGCACAAAAACAAGTGCCGGCAGACTCACAGGTTTATTTGAAGGCACATGAGGATGCTGAGCAGAGAGGACGACTCACTTGAGCCACCATGTGCTACTTGCTTTTCCTTCACAGAAATAATTTCCAAGCTGGGCAGGTCTGAGTGAACACTTACACACAATGAACTCAACTCCATGCCGCCTTTCATTGTCGCCTGTGGTAACTCGCAGAACACACATAACTTCAGTTCTCTGAAGGATAATAGCTCAATGCTTCATTAAATAATATTAAGATACTGCAAATTCAGGATCTGCCACAATAATCCAGTCATGACTAGACTTCAATAAGCAGTTTGTGCCAAAGGCTAGTAAATGGCAGGCTATTCATACCAGAGGGTTGTTACTTCAAACAACAGGATTTTTCTTCTTGGCTCACAGAAGTATCATTTCTTAAGCAGCTCTTCTTCTCAAGAAGAGTGCTGAACTAAGTAAGAGTGCTTAATTGCAGAAGGTTCACTTAGCTATTGTTTATTCTTAATACGACACTTCTATCTTGTTTAGTTTTACATTAGTATTGTGCTCCAACCCATAGGCAGAAGGAAGAATGTCGTGTCAATAGTCATAGCCCCATCCCAAATACCAGTACCATGGCTACGCTCCGTGAGATATCACCCCAAATACCAGTACCATGGCTATACTCCGTGAGATATCACCCCAAATACCAGTAACATGGCTATGCTCCGTGAGGTATCATCCCAAATACCAGTACCATGGCTATGCTCCGTGAGATATCACCCCAAATACCAGTACCAAGGCTATGCTTTG